ATCTAATCACTGTAGTCACCAGACTCTTGATTGAAATTGTCATTTGGAGTCTATGTAATATAAGTACCTATTTATAATAAAAATGTGCAGAGATAATTTAACTCAGAACTACATAACGATAACCGAAGGATTGATTCTCTGCATCAGTGAACTCACACTTTTAAATTAGAATCATATAAATTAGAACAATTCATTGAAACATAACTCAATTCAGTAACCAATAATTAGTATACAGTGGAGCTCTAATGTTAATTTCTAATTTCTTCTTCACAAAAGAATTGGCAAAAACCCCTAACCTGATGTACTTGGGAAATGTCTGTTCTGATTTTCTTTTCTTCCTGAGCTGAATGTTTTGTTATTTGCCCTTCTTCTGTGTGTCCCAAATAGTTCTTGCCATGTCATCTGTTCTGATATGCCACCCTTTGTTTAGGGATCCCTTAGTATGATTTGTAGAAATATTCTTAGTCTTGACATCAGTCATTGTAAAAAATTCACTTTGAGTACAGATTATTTAACATTTATATTGCAAATAAGGTTTTGTTTTCCTTCAACATGCTCTGCAGTATGTTTGTGTTTGACTTCTATCTTCCTGAAGCCTTGTAGCTTGGTCCCTCTGTCTTACTCTTTACGTGTTAAGGTCCTGTGTTCCCTGTCCTGTCTGTACTATAGCAATTAGGTAATAGGGGATGGAGCCACATTCTGGCTCTTTGGGCAGGAGGAGTCATTATTCTGTCCATCTAAACCTTGTCTCTATAAGCCAGCCCAGTACATTCACATAACTGCTGGCCTGTTAAGATGAGTTGTGAACACTTATCTGTCATCTGGCTTATTCCCTGCCCATTCTACTTTGATCCAGTTCTGGACCAGGCCCCTGGCCCTAGGTCAGATATTTCCTTTGGCATCTTAAACCAGGCTATGGGCTTTTGAGTTCTCTAGCCCAGCTTCCCCTGAAGGGCTTTGACTTGGACTGAAGCTGTGCTCCCCCAATTCTTGTGGTCAAATGCAAGGTCTTGGCCCATTGAAGGGTCCTCTACTGCCTTTTCAATGCCCCAAGGAGGGTATTTGGACACTCTCAGATTAGGATCCAAGCTGATTATGGATATTTTGCTGGGCGGAACCCAGGGCCCTATAACGCTTTCACTTTAACATTATTTAAAAGCTTACTGGCTGCATTAGCTGACCCTTTTGTCATTTTATCCCTCAATGTATGTTTAAAAAAAGATTAATAAGTGTAGTTTGGCAAAAGAAACTGGTAGGCTCTAAAGAATCTAATTTTAAAACAAATCTTTCCTCTCCTGTCAAGCTTCCTGCATTCAAAAAAAGCAAGAAAAAAAAAAAAGCAAAATGAACAATATAGATAATATCTGATGAACTCTGTTCTGCTCAGCCTGCCTCTTTATTGAAACCTCCTGTGGCATCATAAGAGACCCAGTGAAATACCCGTTTATGAAAAGCTGGACAGCAAGAAAGAGGTAATAAGGACATTTTATCTCTTTGGCAGTCTCTAATAAAAAATGAAAGGAAAGTAAGTTCATTTCAATTGATGAAAGAAACATGGACTTCATTAAGTTCAAAGGCAAATAAACAGTGCTAGAGGCCAACAGCGTTCCTGTGTGCTTCTTGGTTAGAGATGTTGAGCATCACTCTATAGGCACATAAATTAGGTTTATTGTAATTGTCTGTTTTCATATTTAGTTTTGCTAGGATTAGCATCCTTTTCTGTTTATAATGGCATTTTTCCAATGATGAACAGTAAACTGATCTTGAATGGATGAATAAAAGATAATGCGTGATTACTTCCTGCAAGTATTTATTATCTAGTTGGGAAGAGAAGATACAAACACACACAAAAACAAATGATGCTCCTTATCATTTTAGTCATTGTTAATTATTCCCTGTTATTATCTTATTATTTGCCATGTTTACAATAAGCCCCAAAGGTGGGCAAAGATGTTCTTTCTACCCTGGACACTGTCTAGTTCTTCTAATGCTCCAGCTTCAGTGTTACCTCACAACTTAGCACTTGCTATTTACTTTGCCTGATGTGCTTGTCCTCCTCAACAGTTGATTAACCCCTATTCATCCTTCAAGGCCCAACAGAAAAGCCATTTCCTCCTGCAAGTTCTCTTTGATTGCCTGAGCTAGGTTATCTTGTCCTATTTTATGTTTCTGAGTAACACTGAGAATTATACTTGTGATCACTCTTCCAAGATGTCTTCCCTGCCAGAGTGTGAGCCCCGTTAGGGCAGTGAAAGTCTTTGTCTTGTTCATCTCTTCTCCAAGGCTCAGCAAAGGATCTGCCACTTGGAAGATTTTCAATAAATGCTTGTATAATGAGTAAACACTTTCTGATTAGGACTGCCTTGAAATAGGTAAGGAGCTCGAAGAGTATGGGGCTGATTCTGGAACTGAGGAGGAGCCAGAGGCCTACAGTAGAGGAGAATGTGCTCAAAATGTGGTCCATGAACCAGCAGCGCTAGCATCACTTGGAACTTATTATAAACGTGAACTCTCAGGCCCCACCCCCGACCTAGGTAATTTGCATGCACATTAAAGTTTGAGAAGCGCTGCTTTTAGAGGCTTCATCTGGCCATCTGGCCACAGATGAGAGATAGACCTCAGGAGTTACCTCACCCAGGAGACTGTGGGCCCTCAACAGGCCTGATGACTGCCTGTATGTGCAGAGAAAGGGAGCCTCAGAGACCCTCTAAAGACTCCTGTTTCACCTATGACGAAGGCTTGAGTTCTAGTTCAACCTATTTTTGACCTTAATAGAGCACAAGGCAACTGATTATCTTTGTCTGGGGATAACTCCATTTGTCAGTGAGCTTTCCCCACAGACACTGTGGAACCACAGTTCCTCACCTGGCCTCATTGTCTTTTGGACCTAGAAAAAGGTATTCACCCTGCATTGGACTCAAAGGCCCCTGGCTGACTTTGCACTGTTGTAACTAAACAAAATGATCCTAAGCAGATCCCACAAGGATCCTCTCCACCCGTCTCACCCCACCCCTCATAAGACTGACTTGCAGGCTAGATGAAGGGACAGTGTCCACAGCTAAAGAGCCCACAGCTTCTGAGCCCTGTGAATGGAGGTGGACCAGGTAGGGCATGGCAAGAAGAAGGTCAGCACAGGCCATCTGCAGGGTGAGGCAGCTTCACTCCCTGTAGTGAGGGGATAGGGTGGAGCTCAGGGTTCGGGGCCCTAAGTACAGCTGAGGTGCAGGATCTGTTTTATCCCAAAGCAGGAGGGAGGGAAGTTTCTAGAACCCAAGTCAGAGCTAGACCAAGACTTTCCTTGACACTAGTGATTTCTCAATCAAAGATGTGCCCAAATCCTCTTTCAGTTTGAGGGCATCAGAAGCTCAGGATGCCTTGGAGCAGGTGAATACACAGAATGGGGCAGGATGAGGTGGAGATGTGATTCAGGCTCTCATCAATTCACCAGACCTGAAGCCATCCTCTCCCAGTCCCACAGCTCTCCTAGGCTGAACAGAAGCACTGCACACATTATTTCTTGAAAAGCCACCCTACATTTCTACTTCCCACTTTTAGCTCCCAGAGGTGGCTTTCCTAGTGTTCTGAAGAAATAAACCTGTTCTACCTGGAGCCATCTCAGCTTAAACACATGTAATCTTGTTGAATCGCCCCTACTGTTGGCAAAGCCAGGGTCCCCAGCGCCACTTCCCAGGGCCACATAACTAACGCTACTTGCTGCTTTAGGGGATCTTAGAACTTGGCCGTCTCCATGCGAGGCCTCCCCACTGCTGTCCCCAGCCTCCTGGGTTCTTGCCTGAGCAGCGCCCAGCACTAATACCTGGAGTTGCTCAACATGCAATTGGCTGTTTCGATCACTTGCAAAAGAGGAGCAATTTAAGGGCATCAGAATGTTTCTCTTTAGGTGCTGCATTTGAAAGTTTCCTAAATTAATTGTGGGCATAAGGATAGGTGGAGTGGAGTAGGCAGTGGTTTGGAAGGAGGGTGAAGTGGGCTGGGAGTCAAGATGAATGGCAATACTGTGTGTTGGATCAAGGTGGGTCTCAGGATCTTCCTGGCTTATCTATTAGTGCCTGCCTGCCTATCTAATTTCTGCCTTTTTATCTTGCCTTCTCCACTCACTAATCACTTAATCTTTGTGTCCTCACGTGTAAAATGGGTTGTTGTGAGGTTTCAGTGGACCAGTGCATGTAAAGGGCAGTGCCTGGTGCCTAAAAGTGCTCATTTAATGTTTACTCTGCCATAGAAAGGTGTGGCAGTCAGCTTCTATGAAGATTTACAGCCTTGGAAACCCTATGGGGCAGTTCTACTCTGTCCTATAGGGTCTCTATGAGTCAGACAACTCGTTGGCAATGGGTTTGTTTTTTGTTTGTTTGTTTATGATCATTACACAGGAGCTCTAGTGGCACAGTGGTTAAGCCCTCGGCAGCTAACCAAGAGGTCAGCGGTTGGAACCCACCAGCCGCTCTGTGGGAGAAAGATGTGGCAGTGGGATTCCTTAAAGATTTACAGCCTTGGAAATCTTGCAGTTCTAATCTGTCCTATAGGGTCCCTATGAATTGGAATCGACTGGAGGTCACACAGCAACAGCGTAATCATTATTGCTCCACACAGAGGCATAGCTGGGGAGCTGGAGAAAGGTGCCCTGATCTGCCACCCTCCCAGCCTCCAAGCTCCACAGCGCACTAGGGAGGCCCATAGGAAAACACCATGCAGAAAGCCAACTGGTGGTGGCCCCAGGCAGGGCCTCTTTGGAGCCCC